ACCCGCTTTTGGCGGAAAATTTTTCACATTAGATGTGCTTGTCATGTTTTAAATTTATGTGTCAAGATGGTTTGAAAACTCTTGATATTTTTCTTCAATCAATAAAAACGGCGATTCAATTTTTATGGAAACATCCCAAAAAAATGAAAGAATGGGGTAGATTTTGTAGAGATAATGGCAAAAAGCCAAAAAGATTTCCAAGAGATGTTCCAATTCGTTGGAATTCTACTTTCCACTTACTTAGTGAATCTTTAGCATATAAAGATTTATTATGTGCATTCATTTCTAATAATATATCTGAGATTAATTTACACCCACAAGAGTGGCATATTTGCCAAAAATTTTTAGATCTTTTAAAGGTTTTTAATTATGCAACTTATACTTTGTCACAGTGTTTATTATCCTACTACACATTTATTTTTAGTAGAGTGTACTAATATTGTCGGAACTTTTGATGAATATGAAAATGATGTTGAATTACAACATACTATAGTTGCAATGAAAATGAAATGGCTTCATTATTATAGTGAAATTCCCATGATTTATTTAGTTGCTTGTGTTTTTGATCCGCGTTGCAAATTGGATGGCTTAAATGATTTTTTGCGTGCGTATTATCAATGTTTACATTATGATGTGACAAATGTTACAACCATAGTACGTGAGGTTAAAAACGTAGTAATAGAATTATATAATGAATTTTATACTAAATATAATTTAGGTGATATTAGATCTTCTCAATCTACGGAGATACAAAATGATAGTACGGGTAAAATTAGTAGAGAGGTACCGACTTTTATTACATAGACAAAAAAAACAAAAGGGAGTAATAGGAAATATTTCTGAATTAGAGAGTTATCTAACCATTTTATTTGAGTTTAAGAGCGAAGGTGGTACAAATTTTTTTATTTTGGATTGGTGGAAGAGGCACGCAAGCCAATACCCAATCCTTTCTCTTATTGCAAAACAGATTTTTTCAACCCTTGTTCAACGGTTGCGGTCGAACAAGCATTCGGTCGGAGGTAATGTAATATTTTGAACGAACATCGTTCAAGATTAGATCCAGAATCGATGGAGATGCAAGCTTGTGTTGCTGATTGGACGAAGGCTCAATGCCGGCAACAAGAGATAGATCGGAATAATGAATCCGAATTCTTTAACGACGGAGATACTACCGCTACCACTATCGGTCTTGGAGCGGGTAGTGACGATTGAGGGTAAAAGAACTATTGGAGTTGGCAAATATTTCGGGAACTCTTGTTTCTCATACCGTACGCCACGTGAGCTTAGGGAAACCGAAATATAATCCGACGATATGTGACCTCTGGTCCCCTGCGCACAGAATGCTTAGGTTTTGGGATAATTTTAGGGTATATATATTGTATTCCTTTTTTTTTTTAAGATCGTTGTAACGAATTGTAATGTGTTTAATGATAATTTATTAAGTTGAAACCCTCTCTTTCTCTCGTCTTTTTGTCCCTAAATTTGAGTACAATTTACATTTTAATCACAATTTATATTGAATAATGTTCTATCACAAGAATAGTATTTTTCTAATTTTTTTTATTTTCATTTCTGTTTTTCTTCTTTTTCTTTTCCTTTTCTGTTTTTCCTTTTTCTCTTTTGTCTTTTTCCTTGTTTCTGTTTTTAAAATTATAATTTATATTTTAATTTTTTTTTCTTCCTCCGCGGCCGGCGGGCGAGGTCGGCCTCGCCCAGCCCAGGCGAGGGCCGCCTCGCCTAGAGGTCGGCGACCTCCGCGCCGGCCCCGGCTATGGCCGGCCGCGGAGGAAGAAAAAAAAAAGAAAGGAAAAGGAAAAAAAAAAAACAGAAAAAAATAGGAACCGGCCCGGAACCGGCCGGTTCCGGTTCACACTTGGCCACGAACCGGAACCGCCGGTTCCGAACCAGAACCGGTCGGTTCCGAACCGTGGCCACCTCTACTTGGACAGAGCTGCCGCCCCCCATCTGTCATCGATGTCGACAGCGATCTGGACGCGTGCCTCCGTTCACAAACTGGTCAACTACCACCACCACCACCAACACCACGGCGTGGCGTCGCCCCCTCTTGTCGAGTCTCTCCTCTTCGTTGTTGTCGTCTGTCATCCAGCACGGCGGAGGGAGATCCGAAGTCAAATTCACGTTGGAGCTCGAGCGAGCATAGGCTTGAGGTTGCGAGCCTTTGGATTTTGTTCAAGCATTTGATACCGACACCGTTCTTTAGTATATTTGCCTGTGTTTTGCATGGATTTCACGCATAATTTTTATTTCTAAAATTTTGTGTTTGTTATATGAAAATAGTGGAGCTATAAAAAGCGACAATAATCATGAACTAATTAAAGAAGTACACAATGAAAATATATCATTTAGAAGATAATTGAATATTACGGGTTCATTTTCCGCATATATAAGTTCACTTTACATTTACCAATACTTTTCTACATAATACTTTATAAAAATTGTACTATCTCTATTTGATTCGAGTAAATCGTTTGGTCATTTCTTTGAGTAATTATTATTATTGTTTAATCAACTTTAACAACAATATTGTATTTTACTACATGTTTTATCTGATCGAGTGAAAGTGATTTTACTCTAGATGGTGTATTATTTTGTAAATGTATCGCATAAGATATCATGGATAATAGAATCAATTTTACGTGTAATTATAGATATAGTTACTTTCTCATTCCCATATAGTTTACTAAATTTTGTAATTTCTTAACCATATTAATTTTTTTTAAAAAGTACCTCTTAATTTTTTCAAACATATTATCTTATTCTCATAGATCAAATTTACTACTTATTGTTAAGAAATTTTCCGTCAAACTTTCACTTTTTTTCTGAAAAAATCTTAAATTTTCATTTGGAAAAAAAAACTCCTTCCATTAAAATACTATGCATTTAATGGGCAAAAGTCGCTTTAAATATGATATATTAGGTTATTGTTGTACTATATCACAAGTCCTTTTTTTTTTAATGCTAAAGATGCAAAGTGCAGAGCTTATGCATGCAATTGATGGGAAAATCTGACAAAAAATGCACCCAATTAATGTAGTTAACAAATTTAACTAATTGTTGTTAACAAATTGCACCTCTTCCAGATATGGCAGATCGTGATTTGTCTTCCATAACTACAAATAATAAATAAATAAATAGCTCCTAGGGTCAAATCTGCTTTTTAATATTCGTCAGAGCACATAAGTGGCTTCACGACAAGTATAATCAAAACTGAGTCAAAGGCTATTATCGGATAAGCAGGTGTCAAAATTGTCAAATCATAGCAATGTCATCAGATATTAAAAAAGAAAAACACCACCAAAAACCCCAAACTATATCATTTGTGATAAATTTACTTCAAATTTTTTTGTGACACAAAAAATCTCAAATTATAGCGCTTATGACACATTTACCCCCCACAATACTTTTGCCCAAGGACATTTTCATCTTTTTCCTTTTTCTATTTTTTTTCCTTTTATTTTTCTTTCTTCTCTTTTCCCTCCTTTGACCATGCGGAAGAAACCAGCAAGGTCGCCCTCGCCCAAACTAACGCCGGCAAGGGCCGCCCTCGCCGGCTTCCCTCCGCCATGGCGGGCGGAGGGAAGAGAGAAGAAAGAAAAAAAAAGGAAAAAGACAAAAATGCCCTTGGGAAAAGTATTGTGAGGTAAATGTGTCACAAGTGGTATAGTTTGAGGTTTTTCGTATCGCAAAAAAAGTTCGGGGTAAATTTGTCACAAGTGACATAGTTTAGGGTTTTTGATGGTATTTTCCCTATTAAAAAAGGCCTAATTCCAAAAAAAAAAACACCAACTTTAGGTCTAGGAACAATTCTGGCCTAAACTTTTTTTATCCCGTAAAAAAACACAAACTTTAGGTTTAGTGACAATTCTAGCCCCAATTTTTTTTTATCTCATAAAAAATCACAAACTTTCACAATGATTCCAAATCTAGTCCCCCGTTGACTTTCACTATTGTTTGAGAAAGAAGGTTATGGTGGTGAGCTTGGCGAATCTCGTCCATGGCATCTGTCGACAGGCGCTCGTCAACTTCAGATTACGTCTAGCTAAAAAGATTTAATCTGGAGATATTTTTGACTTGCCGGTGAAGTAAAGGAGACGAACACTATTATTCTTCAAATTGTGGCTCAGAGAATAAGACAATGAATATTGCTTTAAATCTAGTCAGCAAGCCATGTAGATTTATTGCTAAGATGGAATAGTCAAGGTAAATAATCAATGGTTCTAAGTCAATGGGGGCCAGATTTTGGATTTAAGTGAAAGTTTATGCTTTTTTACGAGACAAAAAAAGTTGAGGCTAAAATTGTCACTTGACCTAAAGTTGGTGCTTTTTTACGGGACAAAAAAAATATTCGGTCCAACATTGTCTCTCGACCTAAAGTTGATGCCTTTTTACGGGGCAATAAAAAGTTCGGGCCAGAATTGTACCTCGACCTAAAGTTGGTGTTTTTTTTTTAAATGAACCCTATTAAAAAAACAAACCTTCCAAAGACTAGTATATTGTACGAATACAATGTCATCGAATACTTTAGTCTTTATAAATCCATTAATCTCGACATGAATAATGTCATCTTTTAATCGCACTGAAAAAGTAGATTTATTCATTACAATAAGATTATTTAGAGATGTCATGGGTAAATGAATGGTGAATGGCTATGGATAATAATGCGTGAGGAGAATCATGCATGTTTGGAAGTCATATAAAGATGAGCCTCGAAATGGGTGTTGCAAAGATTAGCAGATAATGGAGACTTTCTTGACGCCTGATTCAAAGATTATGTCGAAAGTTACCGTTGAAAATAAATCGGGTTAAGCATAGCATATTAGGTGAAGTTTGAATTCCCCAACATCAAACCAAATACCAAAAGGGAAACATTGGTGAATTTTCTTCCATTTTTCTTGAGGAAGTGATCCGGCGATTATGGCATTTTAATCATTATTGAGCGTAAAAGCAAAACGCAAGCTACAGAACGCCATGTAGCTCACAAGTCTCTTCCGACACACACACAGAGTTAACGTGAGAGAGTGATTCACCAAATCAAGAAGACACCGTGCTCAATTCGATCCTTCCCAGAATTTTTTCAACCTTGGGAGTTTCATCTCTATCTCAATCTCCCGAGACAGAGCTCGTGTGCAAGCATCAGTGTCTCTTTTCCTGTCTCTCTGCATATACCCAATTGGTGCCTTTGAAAGATTCACTCGGAACTTTGAACGCTTCAACTTCAGTTGCTACCCTCTCTCTCTCTCTCTCTCTCTCTCTTCAAGAGTCCATAAAAATCCTCTCTTTGTTGCTGGATCTTGACCGCCTCTCCACTCTCTCATTTTTTAACTCTTTCTTTTCATCTGGGTTTCTTTCTTTTTTGTGGGGTTTTGGCTTGATATTCTCTTCTCTGCAGTCTCGTCAATACCATCTCCTGCATGACCCGGTTCTCAACTCATTTGTATAATTTCGCAGATTGAACTTCTTCTTTCTTTCTTGGGTTTTCGATAGGGTTTCGGCTCCGATCGGTTGGATTATCTGTTGGGCATTTGTTTGGGGCGTTGCTCAGGAGTCTTTTAGTTTAGTTCTTCTCTGCTGAGTTGAGGAAATTTCTGATTATGATCATGTGAGTTGGATCATTTTCTGATGTGCGATGTCAATGGCGTCGATCAGGAGAACTTTGCCTCCTTACGATGATCGCAATTACCCGAATGGTGACTCCTTTTTGTTAGGATCATCACCAAATCAGAGGCCTTTCTATGTTTTGGGCAAAGCGTCATCTGCTTCGCTGGGTTTCACCGCATCGGGTATTAGAATCCGCAGAATGTTCGCCGCCTTTTTCCCGGGAAAGTACCCGAGAAAGTCTCCGGCGTTGTGCAGATCATTTTATAGTTTTTTGTTGTTTTTCGCACTAGGATTTTTACTGGGATTGACCCCTTATGGGCATGTGAACGACTTGCGAGCTAATCGTCCATTGGAGGTTAAGCCGCCTCCAGTCAATGTCCGGTTGGATGGTGAAGTGGATCAGTCGATTGAGCATCGCGATTTCATTATTAGAGCTGTTAATGTCAGGGTAGAAGAAAAGGTTGAGATTAATTTGGAAGAGGGTTCGAGTTTGGTGCCTAAAAAGCAGCTCATTGTGGTTACGCCGACATATAACAGGGCCTTGCAGGCCTACTTTTTGAATAGGCTTGGTCAGGTACTAAGGCTCGTGCAACCTCCATTGTTGTGGATTGTGGTGGAGATGGATGCAGCTTCGATGGAGACTGCAGACATATTGAGGAAAACTGGGGTCATGTATAGGCATTTGGTTTGTCGTAAGAACACGACAGATGTGAAAGACCGGGTTATGCATCAGCAGAACAGAGCATTGGAGCACATCCAGCACCATCAACTCGATGGTATTGTGTACTTTGCAGACGACTATAACATTTACTCAATAGAGTTGTTCGAGAACCTGAGGCAAATTAGGTATTTATAAGTTTTACAAGTTTCTTCTTTATTATGTTGCTCCTGTTTGTTTTTATGGGATGCCATTAAGAAGCCCTTTTAATTGTCAATCGTTTTCATGGCTTGTATCTGTATTTAATTGTAAGTATCTTGCTTTAAGATATGGCATCGTTGGACTGAAGGTGTATGTCTCGGAACAGCGACCGTTGGAAACTCAAAGATGAGTTCTTCTGTTTTCTGAATCATAATTAGCCTTGCTGGCAAGGGATTAAGTAGCCCATAACGGGAAACTCCATAGGATTGTAGATGTGTTTGTTAGTTACTTTATGCCTGTTTATTAGCTTACTGTAATTTTTTTTTTCTCATTTGTATTGGCGAACGTTTATTGCTGAATCTGCTACTTTGGTTCCTTTGCTTTTATGATTTCCTTCTTTGCCCATCTAGTTTGATTGATGCGTATGATTGCAATCAAGTTTAGAGTCGGTGTACATCTTTCATCCAATTTGCCTGACTATGTTGACAATCAGGAGTTTGTTAGGATACCGCACTCTGCAGCACACTCATAAACCTGACTTTCCTTTGGCTGTCCATGTTTTGTGTTTGGCCCCCTTATCAGTCATCTCTCACATGCTCATGACTAATACACTTGAATTTATGGAGACAACTCTTGCATATTCTTTATCGGAGTTGTATGTTTTACCTTAGTTATTAAGTTTTACTAATGCACCATTACACTATTTTCGGTGCTGATACTTTTTTCCTCATTATTTGAATCTCTGTTTTAGTCTTAATCCATTTGCTTTCTGCTCACCTTTCTTTTTATTGATTTTACAGACGTCTAGATGGCAACCCGTGTATTGAGCGGGTTAGCCATAAAATTAACACTATTCTGATAATATTTGAGAATATTATATTCAATATTATATGAAAATTCATCAATGAAAGCTGGATGTTCAGATGTACTTAGTGAATGTAATTGTGCAAGGGATATTTGAACAAAGTTGGTGTAGCGAATGAATACTGTCATGTTGAATTAATGAAAACGTAGAAAATGAGTTGTGATTTTATAGTAAATCAAAACATAACTTAAAGCAAAGTGAAAATTGAAATCACACTTAATAGCTTATCATATTGACTGTATTTTAGTTTCCTAAACCACATACTCAATAGCATTTAAAAAGTCCATAAATATTAATGGAGACAAATACTTATGAGATGCTAGGAGTTAGGTAATTAATTCTCCTTTGGTTGAAAATACTTGATGGAAAACTTTTGCAGTTGCTTGGGTGGCGTGTGGGTGGCAGAAAACAATTCTTGCAATGAGGAGAAGGCATCTCTGGCTATTTAGAGTCTTAGGTGCCAAACTTTGGGGCAACCCTTAAGAAAGAGTTTGTAATATTTGCAATCTGACTCTTCTGGCATGTAGTGTATGTGTGTATCCATAGTGGAAAAAGGACTTGTTGAAGTCTATTCCGTCCGGGCAAACTAGATAATGGGCGTATAGTAAATGAATATATTTCCTGTCAATTGTTGATCTGTAATGTAACTGAAATTTGCATCTGCTATATAGGATGTCCTGACTTAGCTCTGCTTGCTTTTCAGTCGTTTTGGCACTTGGCCTGTTGCGATGCTCGTGCAGAGCAAAAACAAAGCAATATTGGAAGGTCCCGTTTGCAACGGAAGTCAAGTAATGGGTTGGCACACAAACGAAAGAAGTAAGAGACTCCATAGGTTCCATGTCGATAAGTCTGGATTCGCTTTCAACAGTACGATCTTGTGGGATCCAAAGAGATGGCACCGTCCCAAATCTAATCCAATTCAGTTGGTGGACTCTTTAAAGGAAGGTTTCCAGGTAATAATTGGAGTCCAGACGTAATGAATGTGACTAGTGTGCTCGATATATGATTTATGCAATTTACAGGTCCTCAATTTCTCTTGCAGGGTACAAAATTTATGGAACAAGTGATAGAAGATGAAAGTCAAATGGAAGCAATTCCTTCCGGCTGCTCGTTAATAATGAACTGGCATCTCCATTTGGATGGTCGCGGTCTTCCGTACCCCCAAGGCTGGTTGCTTGAGAAGAATCTTGACAATGTTCTCCCTCTAAGATGATGAAAGTTCGAGTGTTGATACTTTTCACCGGAGAGATGTAGCAACATAGAACGAACTTGTGGATGTGTCCCCAGATATTTCTTTTTAAGGTCATACCTGGTGAAAAAGAGAAGAGAAACACGAGCAGATAAGTCATCTCTCATGTTTGCTTCTGTAGAATGGACAGGATGGGCTGGTGTTGGTGGTGGTCGTACAAGCAGCACCAGCTGGTGAAGCGTCAATGCCGATCGAAGGTGCACAACACACTAGTCGTTCTTTCTCAGAATGAAATTTTACTTTGAGCTTCATCCTCCAACACAAGGTTTCCATATTCCGTTTCTTTTCTTTTTTGAAATCTTATGGGTTTAATTGCACCCGTTCGATGTGATGCAAAGGTACGTGGTGCTGGTTTCCTATCGAGGTTGGGATGGTTGCATATCATTCATGTAATCAAACGTGGGCAAATGTCCTACAGATTAGAAATGGAAAAATTTTCTTTTGCTTTCCGGCATTTGACACACTATGCAGGTTCAGAAATTACCGCACTTAATGAAGGCACGATATATGTTCATCCACCATTTTGACTCATTGATTGTCTATTCTGAAAGTTGCTGATCCATTGCTATGAAGTGGCCAAAAGGAAGTCATGCAGTGAAAACTGAAAATAAGTAGGATTGAATTCGCATCCGGTACTTGAGCAGCTGATTCCTCCTTATCTGTCCGCAAAAAATAGAACTGCTCTTCATTAAAAGGTTATTTGTTTGATTTTTTTTGAGGTGAACTCAAGCTTATACAGAAAACACAGTTTTCCAGAGCCCATTCATGTTCATAATATTTGACAAAATCCTGGCCAGGATCACCAGGGACACGAACATAAACAACAGCCTGTCGCGTTCCGTCAAGTCCCATTTTCGCAAGCTCGTCAACACATTGATTTGCTTCTCTAAACCATGTCGATGTCGCAGATCCTATATTGTTGCTGCGTCCGGAGAAAGCATACTCCATTCATCAAACAATGTTTTTCAGACGGAGGCGTGGGCAATATCAAGAGCATCAAACTTCAATTCTTCCATAGTTTACTAGAAACTACTGTCAAACTGGAGGTTCTAGTCCTGCCTTCGGGTGCCCAGACTTGCGCAGCAAAGGCGGAAGCGGAAAACCAACAACAGTCCAAGCTTATATCTCATCTGTCTCGTGACACTCCTCCTGCCCATGCCTTTCCCAGGGTTTTCTCTGTTCGGGCTCAACGGACATTGGATCTCTGTCCTCCAATTCTGTTACTTTCTCTACCGCAATGCTTTTGTCTGCAGTTCTTTCGCTAGTTCCGGCAATCGGATGCGCGTTCGGATTCTCAATCGCTTCCCTCAATAAGAGCCTGCAAATACCCTCCATGAAACCACACGTTTCGATGCAACAGCATCTACCGGAAGGTAGGTCGCCGCACGCCGCACTTGTCGTTCTGACCACTCACTACGAAGGGATATGGCGGCCCACGAATGACTATACTCACATTTTGCCACCAATGTACAAAATATTGATGTGACTGGAATACTGTAGAAAAATTATTATACGTTACATCGGATTTCAATTACCTTTCTAAATAATACCGTGAGGAGAATGATGACAAGAACCCATCGAAAAGTGAAATAGAACATTAAGTGACTAGGTCATTCATGGTTAACGTCAACAATAAGACCCGAATGTCAATACAATGCTTTTCCATGGTGATTGGATGATCTTGTTTTACAATGTCAAACAATCAAAATGTATTTAAAACAACTCCTTATTCAAATGTGTGCTTCTTATTATTTTGTACAATTTGGGAGTTTGTGTCTTGGAAATTACAACATACAGCCTCATGTTAAAATCGATTACAGAAATGCTTAATTATTTCATAGATTCATGCTTGAAGATTTTTTTGAATTTTTATCTTGGAGGTTAGAAACTAAACAATTATGCTTAGGTTGATTTTCGTTAACTTGGAATGGTTCAATGAAGACAAAATGAAAGTTTTTTTCCTTGTTTTCTTTATTTTTGTTTGGTTATCGTAGAAGAGAGACTTTTCAATACGCATCGTCGTTAGTGGGGTGGGGTAAGGGGGACGTAAGCGGTGAACAATTTCTTTGAACGCTAGTTATCTTCATATTAAAGTAATTTTCTCGGCCCAATAATACCTTAGAAAACCTGCAAATGCAAGCTTGTTTGCAATTTTACCTTCTCATGGGGACTTTATCTTTTGTCCCAATTTTACCTTTTATTTCATAAAGAATCTGACCAATTTTAGGTCTAGTCCAAATTCTACCGGCGGTTATAACCGATCGTCGGCGGTGGGCGTTCCAGGAGCCAAATTTTTTTTTTAAATATTAACAAAAGTCCTTTACAAAATTAGGTTTTACCAAACGGTATTTAGACCAAAGTTGTTTTTAAATGTGATTTTAAAAATACACTTTCCAACACACTACTTGCATTTGGAAACCATTTTATCTCAAAGGTATTTGCATTTTGCTTGTGATTTCCCCAAACCGAACCAAACAGGCCTTTATCTTGTGTCCCAATTTTACCTTTTATTTATAAAGAATTAGTCTAGTCCATAATTTACTCTTAACTTTTTTTATTCATAAAATCCTCATTTTTTTTTTTTTTTTTTAATAAATCACCAACTTTAGGTCAAATTGGCATGAGCAGGTGGTAGTCTTCTGTATACAATTAAAAGAGAAAACAAGGAGAGCAAGTGAAAAAAAAAAGGAAGAAGTATATGATAGAAAACTAAAAATTTGATCAAAGAACTGATCAATTCGATGACAATAACGATAGAGTCCTATTCTACATGTCGATACCTCCATCGGAAAAACTTGTGTTGGGCATCGGGTTGTGCCGGGTCCGGGATTAAATTAAATTTTTTTACTAAATAAACAAATTCAAAAATGATAATTATAAATTGAATATATAATTGTCATATTCAATAGAATTTGCAAGAAATGCAAATATAATAATATTTTAGGACATATTTATTTATATCCCAATATTAAGAGCATTTCAAAAATCATTTGAGGAAAATGAATGGAAAACACTCACTCAATTAAACATAAATATAGTATAATATATCATTAAATTTGAGAAACAAATTATACGTATAAGTGCCCCGATAATTATTACACATAATTTACACCCAAGAGAATTATAATAAATTTATTGTTTTCAATGCCAATCCCTCATCATGATTGGGATGATTAGGTGTCATTGTCCTCTTGTTCACGTTGGACATGTTCGACCATTACTTCATTTTTCTAGTCAAACCGCGCCTATTGTCTTTCATAATCCATTGGCAAGTATCGAACGTCGACTCGAATGGTACCGCAAACAATGCACTCCCAAATGTTTGCAATATTGAACCAGGAGACTCTTAAGCCCCTCCAACATGAATTGATGATCCAAGACAATGGATGGAACATCATGTATAGAAATGAAACGTTGATAACTTTCTTTGCTTGTCATCTAGAGGACCTCTAGCTCTCGATGCCTAAGTGGGGTGGATCTAATATTTTGAATCCATTCACATATGGTGGCCACAAAATCGTACAACTGCAAAGATTATTTTGCACGCGCCAGTTAATACGTTAGAGAGGTGTTCAAGCTAGCAATATCTAAAGTGATGCGGAAGATTTATCGAAGATGCAAAACACGCATTGTCGGCTCTCATTATTTGGTAGTCACATTTCAGAAGTCATGGGGGAATCTAACTTCTCAAATGTAAGAGTTTGATGTGATTTCCATTCCTCATTGACCTAATGTTCGGAAGCTACATAGTAGCTCCATAAATCAGAAGTGAAAGAGATTCAAAAGTTACCCATAAACGACAGATATTCCAAATTCGCCATTTTGTATAGCAACTTGCCATTTTTAGTGTTAATTATCCGGGGAACGAGCCTGAATAGAGTCTGCAGAGCTGTTCAGTGAAGCCAACGGGTTGCTGATACAAGCTCCCTTTGTCATCACATCTCTGTATCGTGTCCCGCTTGGTGCTTCCTCAAGTAACCTGTCCCATTCGTCGGATAATAAGTAGCCACATACCGTGCAAACGGCCTTCTTAACACCATTAGTATCAACTCAACCCGCAATCCAGGCACTGGACGTTCATACCCGCCTAACCACTGCAATTACTGGTGTGTATTCTTGGGGATATGTGATTTTTCAGAGAAAGCAACTTGGCTTGAACTAGCTTCTGCGTTCGCCCCTAAATTCCTACCAATTGTCGAGTCATTATGTCCCGTTGTCGTCTGATGGCGGAGCCGATGCGAAGACATCATTATCGCAGTACTCACTAACTCCCATGATAATTGCATAATGAAGTACGAATTGAGTTAGGATGATCGGAAATGGTTATTATTGTCATTGTTCTCTATGACGATGTTTAGAGCCCAATCAAATCATTGTGACGAGAAAATGAAATCACTGATATTAACAAAACTGTTTTAAAGAGCAATTGCGTCAGGAAGTGGAGTGAGGATTGAAGAAAGCTGAAAAACGATAGGGGAAGGGAGCCAATTTACAAAGGGTATATGCCTTCTCTCCTACCCGTCAACCAGCCGGCCGTCGGGCGTTCTACGATCACTCGTCAAGTGGCCCCAAAAAATGATTTCATGTTGTGGTTCCAACTTAGGAATTCTGCAATAAGAAACAATTGTCGGGCCTGAACTAGCCCACGGGCTTGACCCGGTCCGGGGTCTGGGGTCCGGGTCTGGCCGTGCCCCAGTTGGCATGGCCCATTGGCCACCCCTAACAGCAACAATAAGGATTCTTCTTGACTGAGCCAAATTATGGTCCGAAGATGTAAATAGATGAGGAAAAGTTTTATATTTCTGTAACTGGTAAAATGCTATCTAGTGCACTATTTCCTTTTTTCGCTTTTTGACTGCAATTTTTCGAATCAATTATTTCTTATAATACAATGATAAGAAAAAAATTCAGAGCCTATCCCAATAGGAACCCGATCATCCGAACTATGATGAAATATACAACTAATGTACATTTCCGGAGCAGCAGCAGCGGAGGGATCTCACTTAAACGGTGATCCCTCCCGGAGAACATAACGGAAGCAGAGCTGAAGTGGCCCCTTCAATTTGACAAGGCCATCAGCCGCCATAACGAGCCGCCAATTTACATCTTCTACTCAAAAAATTTGAAGAACCAAATTTGCCAACCTCCTCAGCCCCCTGTCTGCTGCCGTATAGCACAGTTTGGCCAGTCTATCAAGCCATGCATTTATGATATCACGTCATCGTCGTTCCATGGACTGAAGAGCTTGTGCCTGAGGTCAGAGAAGATGAGACATGTGGTTGGTCGACAGTTTCACTTGTGAGGCCAAGAACCGACAGAGTTGTCCTGCCAACAATCACAGTTTAAAAACCAAGTAGAAAACAAGGACAAAGTTATGCACTTTAAACTTCAATTGGAAAAGAGGACATCGAAGACCTCGAAATCATAGGGAAAAGCCCCTAACAGAAGACAAAATCGAAGAGAAAAATCGAATCAAACTACTTAAAGCAAAAGGCCTAAATAGTCGATGCAAAAGGTAACCCCGACATTCTTTCACCATAGGGTCAAAACAGAAAGAGTAATGTTCATCACACTGTCGATCCTAGCCATTCATGCATCAAGATCAAGTTTATAGCTAAAGTGCAATGTCAAGTAAACAGTAACAAATTATAATTATGGACAATCAAGAAATACATCTTGTTGGGCCTTGTACCCTGCCAGTTTGATAGCAAATATCAGGTTCTGAGGTGTATAAAATCCATATAAGGAGATGAGTAAACTGACAACAGCTGTAAGTAGTGAAAGTGAGGACCGCAAACAAATTAAAGCTCCCAAGGACTCTGCAGCACCCTAAATTTTCCCATTACCGAATGAGCCTGCTTCCAAAAGACGTAGCCTGACAGATTCTGCCAAGGAACTAATATTTGGTTTATGCAATTTTCTATTTTCTTTTCGAATTCAACCCAGCTACCTTACCAAGTTGGCCGTCCACTCGTTTACAATAACAAATCAACAGTCGATGCAAATGTTCTGTTTTTCTACGAATTAAAAGCAGAACCAAATCATTGAAGACCAACATTTGACATACTCCTACATCGGTCACGGCACAAATCGCTCTCCTTATTATTAACAAGATCAAACTACTACAATCCAAGTTTTTTTTTTTTGGCTGGCAATTCAAGTACTGCAGATTATTGAAATGCCAAATCTGCTTGTGGCGCACCTCTCTTGTTTTACTCTCAGATGGAAGTACAAGAAAAGAGAAATGTCTGAAGGAGGAGAACAACAGTAACGACAAACTGTACAAAGGTATAGAGCAAAAAGTACCTGGGTAGTGAAGCTCTAATATTTGGTTGACTTGCAAAGGCAGCAAGAGGCTCTCTCAAGTTTGCATATTTAGTTAAAGAACTCTCAAGTTGCGGTGGGGGCAACTGCAAACAGCAAAAGAAGGGAAGATGCTGCTTACTGAATTACATGGAGGGATTAAAAGAATTCAAAGAAAAATATCATAGGCACCTGCAACAATACACCGAAAGAATGTGGCTGCGTCTGGGATACACATTTCAAGAAGCCCACCCAAAGCTTAGGCATCTTCCAAACCTGACATAAAAGCATAGATCATGTTAGCTTCCACAAATCAAACTTATCTAAGCCATGCTATAAAAGAAAAGCTAAAACGAAGATGAAGCCAGCATACCTGCTTACTAACCAGCTTGGAGAGTATCTCCATTACAAAATCGACCTGTGTTTACAAGCAGAAGAGTCAAGTTCCATGCAAGTCACAGAAGTAATCCACTACTTCTGGAGATATATACAAACACCACTATTCTGAGGCTTTTAGACAATTAAATCAAAAGGCATCAAGAACAGGAGAGGAGACACTGGAGCAGACTAAGCAATCAATGTGCTTAACTATCCATAAAGCAACCACTTAATAATAACCTATATCAAGAAAGTCTGCACGCAACCACTTAATAATAACCTATATCAAGAAAGTCCGCACAAGTCAGAACTGCTTCAACTGCCAGTTTCCCATCATCTTAGAGTAAAGTTTGCTGAGGGTCTGAAGGTAAAATAAAGCATCTTTAAAGCAAGGGATACTAGGATCAGTTTCCCGCACCTATACAATCATTTTTCGATTATGGAATTTAGTAATATATTATTTAGTCAAATTTGAGAGAATTCAGCCATTGTGCTGAGAGAATTGAGCTTGCAAGTCCCAACGTGTCGCTTCCTTTATGTGTTTCGCTGAAAGGACCTTTACTTTTCTGATTTTCTTTTTTTTTGTTTCAGCTCCACACTCTCTTTCCCGTCTGTAGCCCATCAATCGAGAACAAGTGAGCTTTAAGCCTTTAAACTTGAAGCAACAACATTACCAAAATTCTTTCATATTTTCTCTTAATTCCATATTTCTTGTCTACAAGGGGATTGATGCATTTGTGATTAGCCAAGAAGGTCATTGGAAAAGGAGACTGGCTGCCCAAAATTCAATTGCTATTAATTCAACAGCTCATCCAATCATATAAGAGATGTGCTTTCTGGTATTTCTACCTAGCTAAGCAAGTGAAAGTATCAGCCAGACAAATTGAACTAATATTTAAAAATAGAGTAAAACCCCCAATGGTTGACCACCAAAAAATAAAAACAAAGAGGCAGTTAAACTAATCCTATCATTACCATCGACAGTGAAACAACTAAAGCCCAGAAAAAAGAGTTACCAGTGCAGGAAAAGCGTCAATTGCCTGAATAACTGTTCTCATGAACAGAAGAGGCAATGGAGTTCGATCAACCTGGAAAATGGATAAGATTTTGTCCTTTAAAAAATGAACAAGATGTGTCCTGTAATGCATCATGCAAAAAACCACTCACCATCTGGTGCAAAGCCCTCGCTAGCACCTGCTGGGTAAACACCGTCCGTTGCTCAAAACAAGTGGAGCAAGCGTCCATTACCTGTCCAATAAATGACCAACCTTATAGATGAAAGTCAAGTCAATGTCGTAATGCCGCCTAAAGCATCAACCTGACAGTCGAAACGACTACACTCCATGCAACTGGCAATTTTTAAATACTCAAATAGATGTGCCATAGTTAAAAGAAGGCTACAATTAACTATGAGGTTTCTGATCCTACAAAAACATGCTGACACCATGAAGAATATGGCAAGGCTGTTTCTTTTTCTGCTAAGCGATGCTAATTTTCCTTTGCCAATGACTGAGAACTAGCCTGAGGTCTTCATGCTCTCGTATGAATAGATCAACTTTCAATGTTGAGAAGAAAGCCTGACTATATGATTGGTGGCAAGGCCAGGCGAAGTAACTCAATTAAGACTCAACTGGTCAACCTATCCACTTCTTATGATTAACCTAAGAATTTCTACAAGAAAAATGGTTATCTTGCCTTGGATGGGCAACTTGATAGTGCTGTATAGTACTGCAATAAGTTACTTTCCCTAATTTTCACAGTAGACTTCACCAGTTTGACCCACTAACCATATGAGGAACAGGAATTCAGAAAAATGACTAGTTTCAGAAAATTGGATTTAGCTGTAACTGAATAAGCACCTAAACAGGCAATAAACATTTATAGTCTCATCCCTTACATCCTGGACAACTTCCAATAATATTTAGACTTTAACTGCACATCAGAGTTTGGATAACACTATTTGGCTGATGTACCTATTGGACGTGAACTGTCTTCCTTTAAATATTGCCTACGATAATGTCAAGTATATTTGTCACTTCATAGAAACTGAGCATCTTAGCAACTCAACTACTGCAACGAATTTAAAAAAGCAAACAGCTAATTGACATGGTTATAGAAGTTGCAAATTTTGACCACTAGCCCAAAGAGATAACTGCTCCCAATGGTCAACCCACCTAAAATTCCTCACACTGGTAGAAAACAAGTCAATCCAACAAGATTCTGTTCAATCAATCAGACATTTTTACTCCAAATTGTTCAGTCAACCAGATTGATGTATGACACTGTTAAGATGCTTCATTATCTTGGATTCTTAGGCACACTGGCTCACTGTCATAGTCGCACTTAAGATGACACAATACTAAGAAAGAGAAAACTATTCAGCTAGTCCCCCCACTGAACATAAAAACTCTATTTCTCATACAGTCTACAAGAAAAGCAGAGTGTCCAGGAAAAACAGCAAATAAAATAAGCGCAGTCTGCAAGCACAATACTTAGGTGTACGGACATTTATCATTTTTAGCAAACTTTGAGCATTGAAGCTCTCAGGCTCAGCTGACTTCAGAGGCAGTTATCTTAAAGAACATTCGCCAAGGAATCAAAATTATCATTAGTGCTGCATAGAAAAGAGGATACTGGCAGTAACTTTGGTAGAACCATAAAGTATAAGGGAAAAGGACTGCACCATACAACCACCAAATATAAGAATTGGGGCTGCCTAAGGAGTTGCCTCTATCCTACCAAGTGATGTACTCTCCATCATTTATTAGTATAATGTTGAACTAAAGGTAACTCCAAGTCAATAGCAAGTCAGGAAGGTCAAAGGGCATCCTCCAATCCAGGGATAATCAAGAGAAACCTAAGCGAGGCTGATCACCAAGCCAACCATCCGGTCTTTTAAAGTTCTGTCTTGAGCCTTGAATGAACTACATTCGATTCCTTTGCGAAACCTGTTTCCATCCTTGAAGCCTACATTCAGTGCTTTTTGAATTTTAAGTTGCAGTATATGCAGTTATATAACCCTTGAATTATAGTGGCTTTCCGCACATGGCACTGCCCGTGCAGCTGCAACAAAAAGAGTCCATTGCTTATCAATCAAGTTGAACATTTTCCCCTGTAGGTGTTTGGACCCATTCTTTTTAGTAGGAGACACTATATTAAGAACACATAAAGTTTATAGGCACAAACAATGAAGACTCTAGTTTTGCGAAGAGCTTCCAACTGAATATGGCCATCTCCTTCAATGAACTAGCAATCTAAATCAAGATGAGTCACCTTTTTCAGCGGAACACCATCTTTCTCAGGAACAATATCATGTATGGCAACCAACACTTCTGCCGGCGTCAAAGCAGGACCAGTATGAGCAGAACCCTGCCATTAAAGAACCTTCAGATTTTTTTGTTGAACCAAAAATTCATAATTTTTTTCTTTTTATTCTTTGTGGACCATAAATGGATAAATTTTTTACAAGGTCAAAAGAAGACTTCTGCTAAAATCTAGAAGTTAATCTAGCAACTGATACAGGAAAGATAGTTAACTAGGCAAGACATGGTCACATTTAGACATATTAGATACCACCATAAAAGTAACATCCACACATGAAGATTTCACAATTTTGTTTGAGAAGTATGAGCGCATCTTCTGGTATTTACATCAAGATCGGGTCTCAGTGCATAAAAATGAAGAGTACCTACTTTTTACAAAAATGGCTCTCTGTATAATCGAAAATTCTACGGTTACTTTCCCTCCAAATCGACCAAAAGGATGCCAGAGGGATCAAATGAATCTTCTCTCTCTTTCCTTTCTCAATGCAGACACCCACTGGGCTCTTAGCTGTTCTTGCAGTCTTCGCACTGACCCACTGAACGCCTAACAATCGACCAAGCCAAATTCCACAACATTCTTGACCAACCATAATGGAACAGTAAAAGTTAACAGTTTCTGCTGCCTCTTTACAGAGGCAACACCTATTTGCCATGATTTGACCTCGGTTTTGCAAATTCACCCATTCTTTACTTGACAAAATTGTTGTGCACACCACTTATGTTTTGTCAAATTACTCTAGACACCATATTGGAATCCATTGGATCCATGAATTAATGAAATATGATCAGATTGCTTTCCTATGTACCTTTTCCAGTCCAGGTAAACTAAAAAAAGTGTCCTCGAAAGCATCACTTCAACTATCATTCTCAGATAAGTTCCAATAATTAAGGACATAATTCCTTTAACATAAAATTTCTAGATTGAAAAAGTTCACATTAAATCACCTAATCATATTCTATTAATTTAGTGGATTCACTGGTTTTAACAAAATGTCAAAGTAACTAATCAAAGCAAATTGGTCTCCCCACCATTTTTCCAGAAAAAAGGTGTAGGAATAGTTTGCCTAATCTGATCGTGGAACAGGCATGTTAATCATAGATAAGAATGTCGACTTTTCAAGTTGCACAAGCTTATAGCATAAGACTGTTTTGAGATTGGAAGTGATTTTGTTTAACCTTGCCAACTATCTCGATCGTCCATTCCAAATCTAATGTGCAACATTCATCTGAAACCAAATCTAACTATCAACCCTCACAGAATAGATCAGTCAACGCACTCTGCAGTAGAATAAGTGAGGCTATGCAAATGAGAATAAGAACACAATAAAGTGCCACCACATATGGATCACTATGCTCTTTACAATGACAAGCCAATTTATAAACTTCTTTTAGTACCTGTAATATGTGGGCAAGTGCCTTTTGGAACTTTTCCGGAGGAAGGTTCACCAGTCGAGGGAAGATGGGTAAAACCTAATCACAAACATAACCAGTTTAAGTTTCTATTTGATGACGACAAGTAAAGCCAATAAAGCTGCTTTCTACCAAACGATTGACGGTCCAAAGATTTCTCGGACTCAATAAGAAAATTGTAAGGCACAGTGGCATAAGAGGATCAATGTAATTGAATCCCCCTAGTGGGAAAGACTCAGTTATTTGTGATTTCCTCTCTTACGAAGATCAAAAGTTGCAACAAAAAGAATTGTGATCAGGCACTCATAACATGCAGATTATTTACATTTTGAAACTGAAAGACAAATGTAGCAGGGATGATAACAGAGTCAAATTCGTACATAGAAATATACTGCTATACACTTTCAAATCAATTGACAGTAATTTATTCTGAGTTTCATTGTGTTGGTGGCATACAGCAAAACACAATCGTACCCGGAATAGTAGTGGGTTCCCAAGCAAATTAATACATTATGCAAGAAAAATCTGAACTCCTGCTATTTAAATGGTGGACATGCACAATTGGCTACAGGCAATATTTACTTTTTAATGGAAACATCTACATTCAACAAATCATTTCTTTTTCATGTCATAGAAGCAGTTTAGTTAACAAGCAGTTGGAATTAACATAATCATGATATTGTAGATCATAAACAACTAACTAGTTCAAATAAAATGGAGGGAGAGGGAGAGGGAGAGAGAGAGAGAGAGAGAGAGAGAGACCTCGCTTTTGGAAAATGAGGGTAACATTGGGATAAGGATCGAAACATCCTGCACAAGGAATACTGTTAGTGGAAATTTAAGTACACAAATTTTTGAATTATGTAGTAAGAGGTAGAGATTGTCATAAGAACCTTCAGCTTAGTTTCATATAAGTGTTTGACGGTGGTAATCAGATCTGGAGAAGGTACCGTTTCCTCGGTCAATATTTGCAGCACCTTACACATATATAATCATATTAACGACTTCAAAAATACAAGATCCATATTAAAAATAAACACTCAGATGTATAACAAAAGGATTATACCAGCATCAAAAGATTTTCACTTCCTTGAGGCGGATCTGATATTATTTGCAGCAATTCAGAATAAGATGACCCGAAGGCCCGTATAAGAATTGGGATATGGCGATGCACAGCCTGCGACATTCGAGGAAACACACAACAAAGCAAAATGTTAATAGCAGTTGACCATTTCTCTTCATACTTTATTGTGTCCGAAGCGAATCCGAAATCAAAAGTAGCGATGGGCGAACCATACTTTTTCACCAATTAAAATCTCATATTTGAAATGCACACAAAATGCAATAAATACTTATGATCCTTCATGCTGAAGAGCACTCTGCTGACCATGTGCAAAGTGCAAGTTATGACCAGCATGCAACCCAATCCAATCCAATGCATTCAACATGCTGATGCACATCAGCATGCAAATAACTATTTATGCAAATCAGAATGCCATTCTCACTCACACGAACTTAGAAACACAACAATAGCACAGAGAAATTGGACAAAGGAAGAGATCTTCCTTTTAAATACTAAATGAGTTCAGTAAACGAGCATTCAAGTCTATATCAAACAAAAGAGCAGCTAAAGCCAATTTAGATATTAGAAAAGCACCTGCTTTACAGGTCTTGGTGCTTGACCATAAGTATCAAACAAAAGGCTAAGTAGGCTAGGTTTCTGCAAGAAATAATATATCAGCATATTTTCAATATAGAGAAAAAAAAGGGCAAAAGAAACATCTCCAGTACGGAATGTATCGTCAAATATTCAATATGATTCAAAACTCGATGAGACTATTGGATATTAAGCGGGCAACTACTGACCTTCATACACAAAGCAAAAAACAAAGAAACAAGCCGTTGAGCTTCAGACAAAGATAAAGAAGAGATGCCCTGAGCCAGGGGTTGTGCACCACCCATAGATTCACTTTCAAAAGTTGCAGCCTCTGAAAATGGAACTTGAGAACCACCGCCGGAAGTATTATGGCTTCCAATCTGTTAAAAAGATATGAAAAGAATTTTGAGCTGATTTTTCAATGCAGGAATGAGTTAGGGTTGTCAAACGACTAACAGATTTTTCATGGGTAGAAGGTTTTGGCAGTTTGGGAATGATTTTCAAGCCTGCGATACTCAGACAAGCAATCTTGCCTGAATCCGCATCCCATATCTTAACAAATATGTAAGAATTTCTAGTCCAAAAGCTTAAAATATTAAAAGGAAAGAGATTACATGCATATGAGCCATTATGAAAGTGTATTCAAGCAATGTGAATATCACTTCAACCCCCATCTGACAAGCAAAATGGACTGAAACTTTATGAACAGGAAACCACGTGTAAAATTAACTTAACTATTACACCAAGTGTGCGGAATGATACGATGTTAGAATCTCCAATCCAAAAGCAGATGTTAGATGGAAGGAGACCATATTTTTAACCCTATTGTAACTCTGTATTCAATCAAGGGGGATAACACTCCGTCAAAATCCAATACTAACGCATGTATTTGTGACTTAAAATTAGCAGTCCCTAATACAACCTAGAAGGAGCGCAAAGACAGCAAAAGTATCAAGCAATACCTCTATTGCACATTGGAAAGTAGACTATTCTAAATGCAACTTTACTACTATTTTAGGCATTCTTATATCAAAACAAGATTGAAGGAAATAAAAAGAGCAAAAGCAATGTTCGATACCTTCCCTTCATCCGGCTGTTCATTCGAGCCAGGTTGGCAAACCTCAACATCTGAAGCATTCTGATTAACAGCTGAGAATAACATACTTTTTGCAAAATGCTCAATAGTCTCAGCAACATAACTCAGCTGAAAGAGTTTGTTAGCCACCTGTCCAAATGCAAACAGAAGAAAATAACATGAAATAACAAACCATGTTCTGACATCACAACGAATGATCTTTTGATATATTATAGAACCCAAATAGTCAAAAAATCCACGGGAAAGGTCAAAACATGCAGATACATCTCGAGCTTCCTTACCAGACGAATAGCTTTAGCCCGGATTTCCTCTTGTGAATGAAGAGCACACTGCCATGAAGACAAATATCATTACAAGATACCAAGAGTAAGATCCTAACCAGCTATAACCATGAGGTAACAGCTATAACTGCTAAACAAGTGTCATATTGGGAAAACGTTCAACTTTTTAAGACCTCATCGTCTATCTAAGAAATTTACAGTCAGATGTATTCATATTATCTTTGCTAACAGTTTCTATGCACATTCCTTTGCAAACTTACTATTGTCTTCAAAGTTAAGAAGGTAGCTTACATAGACAGATGGTGTCCTACGGAATAGACGACATTGGCCATGCTGGGTCAATTACTTACCAGAGAACGGTGAGAAAGAAGATGAGCTATTACCACTTTTTGATATAACAAAAACAAACTATGCCTTTTCCCAAAATGCAGAGGAGTGCTACATGAATCTTTTTATGCCATTGTGCTCGATTCTGTATTAATTCTTTAATAAGCTCCAGATAATCCAATCTTTTCATATTGTTTCCTTCCACATCATCTTAGACCATTCCTTTCCCCTTTACCCCGGTTTCCATCTACTAATCACAACACCTCACAAGAGCCTCCAAAGGTCTTCCTTCAATATGACTAGATTATATATGGATGTAAAGGGTAATCAACAGTAATCAATAATAAGACTCAAATCTGCCTTTTCTGGAGATTAGGAGGTTTCAAAAATATGTTTGAAAGAGAGAAAACAGTATTCTACTTTCCTTTGCCACAGAATCAAATCTACCAATAAGCAAACCATTTCAAACTCCTTTTTCTGCCAAAAATCCCACAAAAGTTTAACTAATGAACCTTGCAACAATATGCTTTAGAAGAAACCATGCGATAGAAATCCACTACGACACAGTTGTCATGAATTAAAGATTGAAGGAAAAAATCAATTTGTACTTATAAACCACTACTTTCTGCTGAAAATTTCTTTTCAGGTCAAAATCACTATCAGTAGAATCCTGGTGAGTAATCATACTTTCAGTTCTTCCACAATCAGGTGAGCAAGAAATTGGCAAGCCATAGTATAAGAAACCAAACACACAAAGCAGGGCATAAATTGAGGAAGCCAAGAAACAGCAATCAATACAGTCACAAACAGGTAGCTCCAGTAAGTTCATTAGTTTCATACTTTTCTCCGTGGTGCTGAGATTATAAGATTGAAATGTTAGAGTAGACCCACGGAGTAACAAAAATCTTGATAAAGATAATCTCATTGAAAAAGATTACCTTCAAAGCTATATCCAAGCAGGATTGCCTGTAATGAGGACGGCCCAAAATCAAACTCCATACAGCATTAAGACCTTGGGTGACACGATCAGCATCACGCAGACTTTTTCCTTGGTAATCAGCAATGTCAGAATTGCAGAGATCATCTAGAAGTTTCAACACAGAACTGGGCAAAACTGGAGCTTCACCAAGAAGTCTACTCAATGACTTGTCAGAAGCAGGAAACTTGAGTAGCAAAGATTCAGCCTACATAGAGAATGCATCAACAATAAAGCCTCACAAAATAGGAAGCAACATGCAGTGAGATAAACAAGTACCTACCACTTCCAAGAGAAATTTGTCATATGTGACAGCATATGCAGAGCTTTCAGCCGAATCAGATCCAGATATAGAATGTAGATAATAGAGGACTTCCAACACAAGCTCATGGCCCTGAAAGAGGGCCAGGTGAGTATCGATTATCAAACAACCAAGTTAATGTAATACCACATGATACCAAGTCATCAGCAATAATCCAAAAAGTAAAGGGAAATTCCACCGATAAGTATAAATGGACAGACATGATGGGCCAAGTTATATGAATCGCCTAAATACAAATTCCTTAACTTTAGCTAGCATCTGACAAATTACACAACAGACTCATCTGGATAAAAATCCTTTGAATTCTAGCTAGCATCTAATGAATTACACAGCATAAAAAATAATTGAACAAGCTCAATCAAACTTAAATTATTCCTCAGGAAAGTCTGTTCTTCGACATATGTGCATGGGGTGTCAACTATGAAAGATCGAAGGCCTATAGTCTTGAGATTAGATTCGTAAAACTGCAAGGAAAATTAGACCACACGACATCTCAAGTATCCTACACAAGATTATACATTTAGGGACAGGAAAAAACAGTTTCTTTTTCAAACCAAAAACATATCCTATATAAGTACCAAGGAGGTAGCACCCCTATGGAAAAGTTAAAAGAGAGAAAAGGAGAGGGTCTACAAAGTATAACAGACTATCCACAATAAAAAGGGGTTTTCAGTGACCCAAAAGCCAAGACCTTTAACCATCTATTCATTACCCCCGAAAAAAGAAGAGGCTAGACTCCCAAAAAACCTCAAGTTTCTCTTTCTCCAAAGAATTCAAAAAAAGTTTTTGGGGGACAGCAGCGAGTATCAACCTTCTCTCTTTGTTATTTACAAAAAAATATCCAGTCCAACTCAAAAACAACCAAGCAGGATATTAGGAATTTCTAACTACTAGCTTTGCAAAATTTGGTGATAGAGTCATCCAGTACCCGAATATACCTACGGGAGAGGGCAAGCACTAAAAACTGACGAAGGATGAAATTTGCCAACTTCTACATTAGACTTCAATGTAACATTTAGCGAGATAATATAAGAACCTAGCCAGATTTAAGCATGTAAAATCAGACAACATGCTTGGGAGGCAGTAACCGTTAAAAATTTGAAAAAAGTGAAGCAAATGAACCACTAAGGTCCCAAATGTGAAGTACCTTTTGTAATTGGTAATCCTCAAGGATATGATTTTTCAGCATCCCAACTAAATCATCAGCAGCAGCACTCTGAATGAAACTTATATGTTAGCAGCACATGATTTGTTGATAATATCAAAGAAGATGCAAATGGTTTAGCCCTGCCTAGTATTCAGACAAGAAATGGCAGTATACGAACCCAAGCTTCACAATGCAAATTCTATATGAAACTTGAAAAAAGATTACAAACTGCACTTCATCATATACATCCTCTTATATTGTAATTTCTACAAATCCAAGAATAATTAAACATTATACAGCATCGCCAGTATGGAAGAGCTTTTAGTTTAGGTTTGTGATGATTCAAGTCCCTATGAAGCTAATATCATCGACCCAGCAAGTGCAGAGACAACCAGAACCTTCGTCGCATTAGGACACCAAAAACAAGCAGCATACTTGTTGTCAGCAGATATCCCATTGTTGGGCCCAATACAACATAAGAAGGGCAATAAAAGTAAGAGAAGGAGCCAAAAACGCCACTAGTAGGCATACACAACAGATATCCGTCTTCAGGCTCACTGTGGAAGATGAACTTCCTCTAGAAATTGGGGAAAACCTAGTGATGCTAATAGCATAGTCACCATGAGGCATATGACATGCCTAGAAATCGAGACAACATGCATTATGAACTCGATAAAGATATATTATAGGATGTCCTTTCCAATTTGGAGTCCGCTTGCAAAAGCATAATTACCATTGATCCCCTCCAAAAGAGGACCAAGTTAACAAGGATGTTTCCTATGAAAGCTGAAGCAGAAACATTTAGTCACATAATGTTGCATCAATAGCAGATCACACTTGTTGGGATCTAACTCTTCAATGATAAATATTTCTTGGTGTGAGAAGACACAATTTTGCATGAGTTTCAAGAATGGAAAAGCTTCAAACTCCTAAAACTATTGATCATCTTTGAATTTTTTTCCCGTGACACACATAACAAAGTGAGAGGTTACAGGCAAGACGAAAAATCTTGTTCATAATGCTTGTAATGTCCCTCATCTTCTGAATAGACTTTCTTCCAGCATATTATAAACATTATAGACAAATGGCTCCATAATTTATAAAGAAGGTTTCTCGCACCAAAGAAGAACATACTTGCTGACCAGAAGAAAAAAGCACAGACTCAGCTTCTTATGGGCAATAAAGAGTCTGCCTACCTGAGCAACAAGTCGAGCAATTAATGACATTGCCGTAGACCCACATTCTTTCCCATTTGGATGCTTGCATGACTCAATAATCTGCTTAAACAACAATTTTCTGACATTGGCTTCCTGTTCCCCATTAAGCTCAATATAGGATGGAACGACAGGTAGGTCCTTTCCTGTCTCCTCAGAGGCGGCAATGTTTGCAACAGCTGAAGGACACTGATCTAATTCCACATTCGTTGGTGTCTCAGATTCAGCCATCTGCATGTCCTCTGCTTTCACTATATCATCCTCAGTTATTTGTTCAGAAGAAAATGCTACATCTGAAGAAAGACCAACTTCAGCAGTAGGTTTAGTTTCCTTAAAACCATCCTGAACCTCCTCTTTTGGAATTAATTCACTGGTATCATGCAAAGATGATCCCAAAATCTCATCATCACTTTTCTTTTTAGATATTAAAGGTGACGAAGCTGTTTTAACACCCACCATAACAGATAACTGTGGCTTATTCGAATTAAAATCATCCAATTTAGATTGCAGGTCTCCAGAGTCATCCACAGTGGGTAATGCAGCCTCAGGAGGCACTGCTAATCGTGGATCCTGGCGGCGGGGATCCTGGAACATAATTAACATCTTTAATGTATTCATTCATCCCATATAAATTACCACATGACATCAACTATAGTAAAAAGTTAAGACAAAGAAGCACATGAAAAATAGCCGATAAAAGCTGTTTTACCCTTCTTGGATCACGTTTAGAATCTGTAGAGACGCTACTGACAATGGATGTTTCAGGAAATGATTCGCTGGTAATAGAAGCAGTAGAATATGGTATCTGCGCAACAGACATTGGAGATGGAATAGAATTTGCAGGAAGAAAAGAAGGTGCCGTAACTTGTACTGGACTACTTGCAGAACCTAATTGTCCAGTTACTTCGGATTTCCCAAGCCTTGTTAAAGGTGGAGGAATCTTGGGCAAGTGTTTCATATTAGTTATCACAATATCGGCTAGTAAATCAGGATGGATTTTGGAAATAAGGATTTCAAGTGATTCGGCGCCTCTTTCTCCTTCGGCCAGCAAAGCACCAATCATAGCAATCATTTGTTCCACAGGTGACAAATCACCGTTTAACATTGAAACATTGGGAGATACACCATTTGCAGAGGTGGAACCATGGCCAGAATCCGCTGTTTGTTGACCTGGAAAAGTTGAGTTGTTATCAGCAATATATCGACCTCGCTTGGATGCCACTTCCAGATTGTGGGCTAACATTTCTTCATCTTGAGAAATTGGCCTTTTCTTAATCAAACTTCCAAGAGTGGACATTTGGCTTGAAGAATGATCTTCCTGCTCATCAAATTACATCGATGAAAGAAAAGAGATTACACACTTAAAGGTTAACACTCTTCAAGAAGAAATATGATACCAGTTTTTGAAACAAAATCAAGAAGATTCAACCTTGACCAAACGGGCATCACGTGATGCACGCTCAGCATTTCTAGCTAACTTCTCCATTTGCCGAATTACTTGCTCTGCCGCATCCCCTGCATTCATTGCTCGTAGAGTCCCAAGCAATCTCTCCCTAGACTGAAAATGGACGCCAATGCAACTTATCGGGCTTAAGTTCGTCTTGAAAAGCATAAGATATTTTTTGAGCTCGTTCTTTTGAGCTAAAGAGATGTTCAGATCAAGATTCTAGGAGCAGTACATCCATAAGGAGCAGTAGGACTAACTTGTTCAAACATGCAGATTAACTACCAACTTATTATACGTGCAAGATTTAAATACCAGCTATAGTCTTTCAAACATGCGGGCATTCAAGCACTAAACAACTACCACAGAAATAAGATACAGCTACTATAGTAAATGAAGTGAGAACCCATACAAAACAAATAAAAGGGATGCCCAAGCTCAAGTTAGACAAAGGCTTTTAGAGACATAAACCATTATTCTCGACGGTATATAACAGCAAAAATTATATCTGACAACAATTCAAGCCAACTTTTCACTGACAACGATCCCCAGAAAATACTAAAAAAGCATAAAACAACACTATGAAGATGTATGAACAGTTAAGACAAAACAATTATACCTCTAGAATGGCGGGACTAGTACACCTAAGAAATCCTAAAAAGGCAGTTCTCAATGAATAACGAACACTGGCAGCATGATATCCCTTCCCTGTTTCACAGTTTGAATCGAAAGCAAGCAGTGCCGAGAAGACAGTGCTGAAGTGTTGCAGCCTCTTTCTTCCTATGGATGCCAGACTGTCAAAGTTGAGCAACAACAACGACAATTAGAGAGAGAGAGAGAGAGAGAGAGAGAGAGAGAGAGAGCGAGAATAATTCATAGAGAAACCATATGTCATCCCAAGCGATGATAAACGAAATGAGACAAGACAAGATCAGATATAGATAAATCAATCAAAATTCACCCACGGTCAGGAATGTCAGGAATGACTACACAACACTGACTTCAAGGAAAAGAGGCCAATCAACAGAGAAGCGCATCATACAACAGTTTCACATTTCTATTCCTTACTTCCTAAGCATCATCCAGCAGAAAGCTAGATGAGCTACATATTTGGATCTGGAGTTCTCAAAGTCTAGATATCAGATCTCCCCAGAAATGTCACAATTCAGAACACATTTATCATGCCAAGACGCCCAAATATTAAGCTCTTTCAACTCACAAGTTTAAAAATACTAGCAATTGATCGACCAAATTCAAACTGACAGGCCCACCATGGATAGGATATAGTGGAACATTCCAAACCATAGAGGCACACTTTACAATTAACATCATCATTGTAAAAAAAATTATCAGATGGACGGCAACCATAAACACAATGCCCTTGACAACAGATAAAGTGACACGGTCAAGAATGATAGACTTTTATGTCAAATAGTGTAGCAAATGCAAGTCCAAACTGCAATCGACAGTGATAGCCAGTGGCTTAGCATACATAAAGTGAAAAGTTCATTTTAAATGAAGAAGGTAATATCTAGACCCAACAACAAGAATTCAAACATGTACGTCTAAACTCGATGAGGATAGTAGCACTCTCAGAGCAATTACCATGTTCCTGATAGCTGTTTTTCTAAAGCTTGATTAAAATACACTGGAGAAGATGGAAGGGCATCCTAGATTATGGAATTATCAAAACATCATAGAGCACAAAGCTCTGTATTCTCCAAGGTAAAGTGGAGACTTTAATTTCAAATGTTAAAGAAATTTGCCTAAAGGAACAATATGAAGTTTAAAGTCCTATCATTAAACATAGTATCTGGAAATTATCACTTAAGCTTCTCATCCATCAAGCACCAATCTATCTAAGGTAGAGCAAGAGGACCTCCTTTCGTTACCCAGAATATACCCAAAAGGTGCAGAATAAACAAATGTAGGCCTCATTGGTCATGACATGTAATTTTTCACTATTTTCTAAATGAATGACGAAGGGATGACAAGTGTTGACCCAAGAACTATTAAATCTTGCTGATGGTGGATTTCCACCAGGTCATAAGACATGAAGTAACCGACTTCTACGCTCTCGAGTCTATTGTAACACTTAAATTTAGATCACACATTCATCGAGCAGCTCAGCTTGAAAATTGGTTGGCAGTCATCCTACAAAATTTTACATGGTACCGAAGCAGGAGGTTAGGTGTACAAATCTCTCAAAGCCCCTTACAGGGTAGGAACAGTCATGAGCAGTCTCATGAGAAGATCAACCAACTCAATATAGCATAAAAAAGTTAGCATCTATTCATTCCCCACTTTAGAAACAATAAAGAAATCCCACGGGCTAGTCTAATAGTTAAGGACCAGAAGGGTGGGCGTAGAAGGCACATAATACAAGTCCAATTTATCAAAACAGCCAGTGCAAGCAATCCTAAATTTGAGGCAACCATTGGACTTCGGTTCATGTTTTATTTGACCTATAAGTTGAGAGGGGTATTGCACAGGCCCGTGATTTACCTACCTAAGATGAGTTTCCTAATCATCGAAAAAAAAACAACCAGACATATCATTGTCCAGATACCAAAAAACTGTAAAGGGAAGAAAGAAGCAATACGACAACTGCAACATTTGAGAACACAACATGACAATTTCTAGAACAATTAATCTTAAAGAGCTCCATGCTACTGCACACGACATTTGAAGAGAGAACTAGATAGTAAGTCAGATGCAGGTTATAAGCACCCCAAATCTAGCCTCAAAAGGTTGACAACACCAAAGAAAGTTAGCACAGTGGTTTTTGCTATGCATGTACCATGACTGGGAGTAATGGAACATGTAAAAATTCGCCTTGTTTAATAAAAGGCAAATGAACACCTAGCAAGAGAAAAAAAACTTACCTACAACTCAGGTAAAAAGATGAAAAGTTAACATGCAAAGTCCATATCCATCAAAATCCATTCTTAAAAATAAAATTAACTTGCCCTTGCTCTACAATTATTAGCTAAACAAAAGCCATTACATGCCAGATATGTCCCACTTCCTACCCTTGTGATAAATGACTTAAACATATTGAATCAATTGCTAAACACTACACTGAATAATTCTTGCAAACAACCTATCTAGTTCTATCAGCACCAACTGATAAGCTGGACCAGTGCATGGGCTATCTGCTGAAGGATCTCCACGGTAGGCTGTGATTACATAAGTTATTATCACTAACCATTCTCAAGTCATAATACTCTGCAGATAACCACAGAGTGTCTTTTGTTTGTAATCTGCGTTAATTTTGGTATAATCAGTCGAGATTTGTGCTACTGAGACAGTACGTCTAGCATTTTGGCTTCTAAAAATGCATACTAATAATAGTACAGATATCTGTGTAAATAATGTCAGCAAAATCAAACGTGATTTCACTCATTTTGCAGATGGCCAATCTGGAAAGGACAAATAGATGCAAATCAGCAAATCAGACATCTCTTCTGGATCTGCTTTCCTATAAAATACCTATCTGATAATTGATATGGCTTTGGAGTAATCATGACAAGAAAAGGAAAGAAAACAGTAAGTATGGGAGTGCAAGCATTAGGTGAATAAGTCCACCAATATTTTGATGCAAAGACCCATCAACGGGGTTGAAAAACCGGCAAGTGCAAAAGATCAAGCTAAGCATATCAAGCTCTGAAGTTCCCAATAGTAATTAATTCTGATCATTGAATATATAAAATGTGTATCAGCTGTCATGAATAATTTGTACACATTCAGCTGTATCCAGGTACAGCAGAGAAAAACTCAAAGAACGGTGTAGTAAATGGTCTATACGTCAGTTTACAAAGCATAAACTGCATCATTTGACCAAAGTTTCTCTGGGCTCAAGGATGGCCATTATCCATTGCTTAACAGTTCTACATTGGCCAATGGCGCTCCCAAATAAGTGCAGTCTTAACACTTCTAGCCCTGTGACTTCAAATATCTGAACCACCATTGCTGCAGTATCCAAAGCCATTAACTCCACAAAAGAGAGCTGATCAGCAGACTGCACTATTATCACGCACAAGCAGCAGATGTTGTACTACCTGTTCCAAGCTTCAGTGACATCTCCAATGTTTTCAAGATAGTAAAATGGGCGGGCAAAATGCGGTTCTATCCGCTACCTCTACACAATTATGTGGCTTCACTTATTTTAAAGTTATTTAATAACATCAGCAACATGTTAAAGATTATGATATAGCCATAAAAGCATTCATCATACAAAAACTCACAATTCTAATGAACTACCAACTCAGTGACCACTAATTGGAAATTGACTCAGTAAGGAACTATACTAAAGCAAGTACTACAATCAATTACCAGCCATATTTGCAATAATTGTAAAACTCAAATTCAAAATTAATAGCATAGAATTCATACAACTTTCATTACATCTGTTGGGCATTTTGGCATGTGGGTGTAAACTACATTTAGTTGGTATTGCAACACAAATGTATGTTAAATAAATAGTTCCAAGTACAGGCATCAGACATACAATAGCAGACATGACACAAGGCACCTGCCATCTATAGGGTGCAAAGACCAAAAACGTGATCAGAAAGGACAAGCCACTGGAATCACTGAATATAGGAACAAGCAGCAAACATGAACATCAAAATCTTCAGGGCAGAATTAAGGGTCACGCTTGTACATGAAGTCATAACTCAAACAGCAACGAGCGAGAAATCCCAGCGTCTACCAAACAGATCAAAAACATTTTTTAAACTCCAATTTCTCAAAGACCAAAATATTTGATATTATTTATGCCTGATAATACAATAATGACAGAAAACGAGAAAAAAGCACCATCCATGTTCCCTCCATATACCATAACAGAAAGCACATTCAACTGGAGTAGTGTGTAATATCGGTACAAGCTTCAAATACGGGGTCGCTGTTTCTACAAGTTTTCCTATGATGTCCATTTTTTACTATTTATTTTAATTATAACTAGTTTCAATTGCTCTTTCATCTCAAAATCATCAGGCTGTCATAAGTCTGAAATATGTATATTTGGCAGTCAAACAATTCCTTTTGAGATATAATTTGCATGTATCTTCGCAAAGGTCATCAACAAATTAGATAAAAGATAAATTAAAACACTATCTTTTTCACTCTGAAATAAGCTTGTAAAGGCAATACCATGACTACACTCAATAAACAAGTATGGGACGCACATTTTTCGAGTTCTGTTTTTACGAATGGTGAGAATTTTCAAAAATAGTTCTTCACAAGCCCTCAAAAGAACAGACTTAAAAGGACGACAATCAGTAATCTCCCTAATTCTGATAACAAGCATGTCTAAAAGGGATTGAGGGTTGCCAACTAATAATCAGCAGGAAATTCCTTTCTCAAAACAAGGACGATCACGAAGCTAAGAAAACTCACCCAAAGCAACAATGACAAGCATAATAACTCCAGGAAAATCCTCTCTCAAAGGTTAAAATGCTAAGTACACTATGTAGAAGCAAAGGATGCAAATAAAGTTCTAGAAGCACCAGCATTAATTACAAGCAAGCCCAGTTAATTTACTTTGCTCTTTGGCAAACTCAACAAGAGAATTGTCCAGCAACCGACCCACCCCAGACACAACTCAGATCCCTGCTTGTTAAAATGGTGCATTTCTAATGTTCTAATGTTCTAAAGAGTTAGGAGTCAGATTCCAAAATCATTCTAACATACACTGCATCCAGCATCTACCAACTTTAAGCTAATTTTGAAAACTAAAATGCTGATTCCATCATCCACCAGTTATTACTGAACCCTATGATTTCACAATAAGGAGAATATGTCAACAGATATAATGCAAAGAAGAACACATACAAAGGTGCTAAAGAATATGATATTCAGCGTGAAGACTAACAGAACATTCAAGCTCACCAATTTATAACTGCAATTGCCAGACACCCCGGAAGACTGCTGGTCACGGACAACATATCCAATAAGTACTCGAGAATCATCCCTGCTTCTGACACGAACAAAACGGGATCAATAATAGAGTGACTCCCAGTGAGCCGTGAAATATTAAACACCTGTCCACCTGTTTCAACCAAGCAAAGACCAATAACTATCCCATCAATTACCTTTAGAAAGAATCAAATCCGACAGAATAGGGTAAGCAAAAGGACAAATTGAAATATCCATACCAAACTGCAAACTGTGAAACAGTAAGCTTCTTATAGTAAGGACCAATACCTTCTGGCAGAGGTTTTCCCAATTCATTGTTGTCGGGTGTGAAAAGTAAGACATATCTCTCCAAAAATTTCAATGCCAACAATCTTGTACTAATAACGCCAGGCTACAATATCAAGTCCATAAATTTTATAGTCAGACAATGGTATTCTTCGACATCAATAGTAAAGATGCTAATATGGACCGAAATGGGTTTTAAACAGTCAAAACCCCAATAACATAAAATCCACCAAGCAAGCGCCAATTACAATAGAGAAGTGCAGGTTAATAAATATATAGTGAATATAACAAGCTCCCAACAAATGCCAGGTATCTATTTGCAATTTCACATGTAGGTCTATCATAAGAAAAGAGGATTTTCTACCTGGCACAATAATATATCTAAGTTCAGAATAAGCCTTTACCCAAGAGCAATCTAAGATTTACTTGCTTGAAATTATGCATTAAAATAATATTGTTTTTTCATGTATCACACAACAAACAAATTAGAATCATAGATAAAATCATAATTCAAACTACATGGCATGGCATAGCTAAGCAGTTGCCCTGCTGCTGTCAATTTGGAACAGCAATAGACTGTGCCTTCACTGGGTATTATGTGAACATCATCAGGTTCAGTGAGATGAGAAAATGCAGGCATGGAATTAAGTCAAATCGAATTTAGATAAGAGGCAGTTCTTCACTGTCATATTTCTCTCCATAGTTTGATTTTTCTAGAGACAGAGAAGAAGAGCCTTCAAGAGCATTCAGTAGACTATCCATGTTTCATACATAGATGGTTTCAGCCTGAACACTTTTGGTAGAACCTTCTATAAAATGTTTGACCGTGCTAGACTATGTAGCTAATTCTCTTCTAAATGATAACAGAAAAATGTCAGCACCTCCTTTGTTCCCTATAGTGACACTTCGATATTAAACATAAAAAGAGAAGATTATAATAGCAATAGCAACAAAATTGCAGAGTACATAAAAAACTGGGTGTATAACTATAAAAAACACATTAAGATCTAAATAAGCATCAGTTTTTAAAATTGGAGATCATATAAAGTCCTCATATAAACCAACTGTCAAAATATCATAAACACATGTTCCAATGCACATATATAGTCAATTAATAGAAGGATCATCTAACCTACTCCTCTCTTAGCAGCTCGGACAGTACAATAGTATTCGAGCATTTCAAGGGAAATGCATCGTGAATTATCAGTTCTAAAACAAAGACAAAATATTGCACAAATTTTTTTAACTCATCAAACTCAAGCAAGAAAATTAGTCTTGACAAATATGCAAGCTAGCTTATCATGGTATTCCATCATACCAGGACTGCTTGATGAAAACTTAGAATTCTGCCATAGAAATGAATGTTTATGTCGTGAAATCATAAAATACTGAAAGAACCTTAAAAATGTAAGTTTCATCAACACACCTCCATCGCCGTGGCAACAATGTTATCTCTGAACTTGAGCATGGACAGCCAAATATCTTCAAGCCATCTCTCGATTTTGCCACGGATATTAAGCTGTTTCCAACAAAATGGCCATGAATCACCTTTTTGAATAGTAAACCCTTTTTCATACTTTACAGCAATAACTATCATTTTAACAATGTAATGAATCCTAGAGAAGTACTACAAAACATACATGACACAAACATAACTACCATTAAGACAGTTATTTAAAGTAGAAGCTCAATGTATGAAGTTATAACTTATAATAAGAGAATGGAAGGATCCACCATTCTGCCATTCACAAAGAAATTACATGTACCATAGTGTCACTGAGATTTCATTATTCCCAAACGTGCAACCTACTTCTACAACAGCTTTCTACAGTAAATTACATACAAATGAAACTAATGTAGGGATACAACTTAAAAGTACATTCAACCATCTGCAAAACAATACAGACAAAACTGTGCCAGAGTGGCATCACTCAAACATCTCCGAGTTCATCGGCAATCCAAAACAAATGGCCATCAAAACTCCTAATTTAATGTGTGTGTGTGTGTGTGTGTGTGTGTGTGTGTGTGTGTGAGAGAGAGAGAGAGAGAGAGAGCGAGAGAGAGAGAGAGAGAGAGACAAGAGAAGACCTGCACTGCCATCTCCTCTAGAACTCTGCAAAAGATTTTGGTACCGCTGATTATACATTGCTTAGCAACCACAGAGTCAACATCTCTTAAATATGCCAGTAATACCGGCATTAACACACAAGAATGCTCCAGCATTTTCAGTCCAAGTTCTTCAATAGTCCTAGTTAGCATTAAAATAAAATTGAATAATAGAGTTAGAAATGCTAGATAAGCGCCGCAAAACAAGAACTATATCGCAGCAACATCAGTAAATATAAGAACTTAACCATAACTAGTGATGACCAATGAGATAAAAGGGCAATTGCATATCAAACAATGGCTTCTAGTAACACATACTGAATGACTCGTATCTCCAACCAAAACTAAGAGGTGTGATTGAAGCCTAATTTCCACTTCTCCCTCTTGCCATGACAAGCAAATACCCAGACAAAAGAGAATCATTGTTAAGCTCTCGGTACATCAAGACATATCCGGTCCATAAGTAAATTATAGGATAGGGGCTTAGACAGATTGAGAAAGTTCACTAAAATATTCTCTATTTCTCCCAAAACAATCAAAATTGGAAGAAAATGTTAGACAGAATAACAAGTTCCATAAATCATATTAAATGTAAATCGTCCAGATTCTCACAGATGACATTTATCAAAGACAAAAGATCAACTGAAAAATAGCAAATCTGTGTGATGCAGGTCAGTAGAAATGATGGCGGTTTTTCGCATGAAATCAAAAGACAATAAAAAAGGAAGAGTTTTTCCAATCAAATCTAATACATAGATCTCCACAATCAATTCCATAAATGATGATATAGCTCCACAAGTAAATATGCAACAAGAAGGATCAAATCACATACATAAACACACAACAGGAAGATAAAAGCAACACGAGTTAGGACTCATGAAACTAACTCGATAAGAGATTTTCGGATAAGGCTGTCCGGTAAACACCGGAGCTTGGCCAAATGTCGGAAGAGATTGGACGCCAAAGAAGGGTCAACAGACAGTAAAGCATGCTTAACTCGCTTGAGATAAGCAAGTTTCACCATCAAATTGCCACGATTGTTCACGGCAGCAATGAGGGACAGAATATGGTCTCTTGACGCCATGTGAATGGGGAATGAGCACTGTTGGAGGACTAAGGAAAGCTAGGGTTTTGAGGAAGCCGCAGAGATATGGTTTGGGAAAAATCGCTCTGTTTTAAGGGAGAGCGCTGAGGGCACAAGAACGCCGCATTAAATATTAAAAAGTGGGAAGGATAATGAAGCGCGGTGATAGGATTAAGGAAAGATGCCCTCAAGAGATTCCTTTAAACCAAATAGAGCAAATAAAACTTATTTCATCATATTATACTGCATTAGTAAAAATTAACACCATTTGTATTTGATAATCCTACGCATTAAATATTTCCGGTCAATCTTCAATATCTACACATAAAGACCATAAAAAAATGGATTGCCCATCTCATATCTCAACCAAAAAACACTAATAATTGATGTCTTCCTTTTTTACCTCCACAAATATTCTCAAATGAGTTTGAAAAAGGCAAGTACACATTTACTTATTATGTAGACAAATCATGATAGGAGATTTTAATCTCCACTTTCAAATGTGCACCCCCAACATCATTTACCACTCTATGTCTTTAACATGACAGGTATTCTTACAAGTAAAAGTAAGAGACGTTTGCAAGAAAATTAGAAGCAGTTAAGGAATGAACACCAGTTTCATTCCCCATAATACCAAGTGTAAAACTTGTTGGACCACCCGCTTGGCTCCACTAACGGATGCATAAGTAAATAAGTTATTTCCTGGACAGCGGATTACTAACCTACTGTGGGCTTCTTCATGATTAAGAAACGCACTAAGTTTCAAAAGTTATTCATATCTACAAGCTATTGAAAGAAACCATTTACATAGGAAAGCATAATGCCATCTATTTTTCATGCTATTCATCCTCTCAATACATCATTTCTTGAGCACACAAGATGTTATGCCTTTTGCTAATTCAATTGTTCAGAGAAGGCGGAGGTTATTGGATCTAAATAGGTAATCTTTCTTCTGATCATGCTTCAACATTTTGACTAGTCTTTTGCTATTGACAAGCCCTTTTCTCGTCAAGTTTCGCATATTTTATTCATGTACTTACTCTGATACTTTTGCCTTAAATCGTTAAGAGTTGAAGTGAGAAGTTTATGATTAAAATAAAATCTCATAATCTCTACAATGTTTACCCTTCGATGGACATACAAAATGAATTGACTATATTGAGAAGATCATTTACTAGTGTAATAAATATGGTTTAATTAGCCAAATTGCTTTTATTCGTGTCTTTTTTAAAATGCTCCTCTGAGTTTTAGTTGTTTTCATTCTTACTATTATCTATGAAGCAAATTTGTTTCACATCACCTACTGACTATATAAAAACAAGGTTTTTCTAAAAGTTCTCAAATTAAACCCAAGATCTGCTCAAATCAGGTGCCCAAGGGGAACTTCTTAAGCTAGAACTAAAACTAATGTACAAATTAAGTTTTTTGTATGATTGATTTCTCCGTAATGTGAAAAACCGTTGCAATATGTTCTTTGCAATTTCTCAAATAATCAAGCTTTCCCTTATATTGTAGTAATTCTCCAAGGCCCCCCACTCAATTACACCACTTATGGAGTCGATAAAATTACAACGAACCAAATTATCTACATATATATGTATATATATGGCATGCATCATATCTACTACACTAAAGAGCTTAAAAATAGATTTTAAAGATTTGTCCAACTTTTCTACAACTTGGTTTTGTGATTGTGGATTTTTTAAGAAACAAATTGCCATCTGTAACATCATAAGATCATGATTGTGTACATTCAACTAACACAGGGCCATATGTTCATTTGGAATACAAGTCCAAACCAAGTCTTTATCCACATCAACTTGAAAAATATCAGATTAATCATCATGAAGCATATAAAAGATCAAATCCTTTCCACCGTGATTCTTTTATAGACCTTAAGATGAAAGGCTCCATTTAGTAAAAATCTGCTTTTTTTTTTTCGAGAAAGTGGTAAATCATTATAGTGAAAGCAGCTCTATTAGGGGAAATGTATCTCTGTTATCAAAAAACTGACTTTGCAAGTTATGAAGAAATTTTTTGAGGGAAGAAAAAAATAAAATTGTTAACCAGCAAATTAGCTCTATTACTTGGTAAAGAAGCTATGTCCACAAAAACTGCATTTTAAAGGAATAAAAATCTTGGTCCAAGCAAAAGCAACTGAAGTAAATACATTTTGATCAAGAGAATCTCATTTTATCTCAAAATAGTAAAAGTGAAAGATTGTTAACCATAAGGCATTTAAATATCAGGAAAGTAGCAAAACCCACAAATAGCGGAAGAGAGGTACTTTGAGCAGGGGAAACGAATCATTCTCTAACCAAAAGTGACTTTGCTGAGGCATGTGTTCTCTAGTCACATAAACATGGCTTTCTTAGCCAAGAATAGCGTTACAATGGTCTCATCATAGGAGGTAATGCTTTCCTTGCCAGAGTGTTAGCTCTGTTGAAACCTCAAGAAGTTCATTAAAAGATCTAATCATTTCATTCTGCTAAGTTTGCTTGTAAAAGATACACTAGTCACACTTTAAAAGAAACATTTCATAGTAACATATGACAAAAAGTTGGACAACCAATCCAACGCATCCAACAAAAGTATAAACAGCAGCATCCACAAGTTTCGGGATAACCCGTAGATAGAGATCACCGACGAGATCAAAGGGGACCATGTCAAATGATAGCTTTCAGCAATTGTAAATGATAAACGAGTGCATGACAATGAGAAAAATAGCCGGATACGAAGACCCGATTACCATCCTCTCTCTTTTTTCTGCCGTAACAGACAAAAAGCCACCAGGCAGAAGATGAGTTGTGAGGTTTCAACGGCCAATTAGAAGTATCACCCGACTAAGTTAACCACAACAGAGTAATTTCGACAAAAGAGAAAGTACACCACAACATCCTTAGCAACACTCTGGTAGCAAATATGACCGGATGAACGACGTCCACCATAAGAACCACTAGGAAGGTAAGTCCTTCACACCGTGCAATAATTCTTCAATTTCGCCAACTCGATACACATACCACCTAGGCACGACGCAGGCAATCGCTAATCAGGTAGAAGAAACAAAAGCCTAAGTGGCAAAAAGGAAGACAGAAATCCGCAGAGCGTCAATCCGCAATGAGCGACAACACACTCCTCATAAAGCGAACATTTTTCACCACAAGACACCGATTCCGAAGCAGGCAGAGCAAGTTCGTCCAACAAACCAGAAGGCGGAAAAAAGAAAGAAAACAAGTTAGGGCTCGGGGGACTGACTCGACGAGGGATTTCCGGACGAGGCCCTCCGGCGACGACTGCAGCTCGGCCAGATAAGGGAGGAGCTCGGAGGCGAGGGAGGAGTCGATCGAGAGCAGAATGTCCCTGGCCTGCCGGAGGGAGGAGAGCTTCACGGCCAAGTCGCCGTGGTTGTTGGCGGCGGCGAGGAGGGAGAGGGCCTGGTCCCTGGAAGCCATGGGCGGTGTGGGGGGCGGGCGGGGCGGGGCAATGCGCGCGGCGGAGGATGGCGGGGGTCCTTTAGGGTTTGGAGGAGGGCGGCGGCGGCGGAGGTTTCCGTGTCGGGGCGGCGAGGCTTCGCAGTCTCATGGAAGAGAGAGAGTAGTAGGAGCGAGAAGAACCGCGAAATAGAGAAAAGCTTTTGGAAGCAAAGGGAAGGGGGGATGGAGGAAGACGATGAACGGCAACACACCGCCTGAGGATCGACGGAGAGAGAGAAAGAAGGCGAAGTTAATATAGCTCTTATATATATATCCATAAATAGTTTTTTTTTTAAATCAATCGATTTCCTCTACTTAAAATTAAAATTAGGGGAAATTTCAAATCAGTACCAAATTTGTGTCATTTTCTCAAAAAATGATCCAAAGTGGATATAGTATCAAATAAGAATTCAAAGTGCCTAATCAGTCTCAAATAGGGGTCCGAAGTGCCTAATTAATCTCAAGTAAGGGCTCAAGTTCGTCGGTCGATCAAATGCTCACCGGCCGGCAAGCACGTCACTGTTTCGGCAATTGGAATATGGGCAATTTCATTTTTTACTTTTTTTTGTTTTTTCTTTTCCTTTTCCTTTTCCTTTTCTTCTTCTTTTTTTTTTTCTCTTTTCCCTCCGCCAGCCATAGCTGGGGCCGGCGGAGGTTGCCAGCCTCGGGCGGAGGCTGCCCTCGCCCGACCCTAGGTTGCCCTCGCCAGCGTCGAGCGAGGGACAAGGGCAGCCTCCGCGGCCCCGGCTATGGCCGGCAGAGGGAGAAGAGGAAAAAAAAAAAAAGAAGAAGAAAAGGAAAAGGAAAAGAAAAAAACAAAAAAAAAAATTTAAAAAGTAAAAGACGAAATTGCCCTTGTTCCGATCGCCGGAATAGTGATGTGCTTGTCGGCCGGTGAGCATTTGACATGCCGGCGAACTTAGGCCCTTACTTGAGGCTAATTGAGCACTTCGAGCCCTTATTTGAGACTGATTAGGCACTTTAGGCCCTTATTTGACATTATGTCCACTTTGGACCCCTTTTTGAGAAAATGACCTCACTTTTGGTACTAATTTGAAATTTTCCCTTAAAATTATGTACTAATTGGTCATTTGGGCTTAGGCCCCTTTTTTTCAAGGAAAAAAAAGAAAAAATTGGTCCGTCGAAAATTTGAATATTTGTATCGGGATACTGAGTTTCCACTTGTTTCAATAAAATAAAAAATTTAGAAAATATTTATGTGAAGATGATCGTCTGCATTGGTTGCAAAAATGGATGAATGAAGAATCTTTTCATCATCCGCAAAAATGTTTAGACTTATAATGTTGTCATTAATTAACTAATAATCTCAAGCGATGAAAATGAGATATTTCAGGAGAAATATTTTCTTTATTTTCCGCGAAACAAACGAGACATTATATTTTTAGTGCGATCTAAAACTTGTGGCTTTTAGTAGCACTGGTATCTCATATTCTATCACATTTCGCATATAAAAATAGACCCTTATACAATATTAAGTACCTTAAATGTAGAGGTTTTAGCATTAAACTTCATTTAACGTGGGTTGAATTTCTGTAAAATTTTCTAGGATTAAATTTTTTTCCATTTTTTATATACTCTGATGATTGTTAAGTTTATCAATTTGACCAAGTATTGTAATGTTCAAATCACGCTGGGTCAAATTTTATGAGTAACATTAACCGAGTGAAGCATTTGGTTATTTCCTTCTCTTATACTTGAAATGTAATTTTTCATTTTCCATATTAATGGAAATATACTAAGATTTCATAAATAAAAATTTTATGTAAAAATATTTTTGTTGTGCTGTTATTTCAATAAATCACATTATCGTGAAACTTAATGAACTTTCTATCTATACTGTTTTATAATGTAAATAGAACCCTCTTTTTCATTTACAGATGTCGAATCTTTTTCCTTTCTTCCCCAAAATCTTCAAATACTTTATTATGAATGTTATACACATGGGCAAATGTGTAAGTTAATAATTCTATATATCTTAAATGTTTCAATATAAAAATTTAAAACTCTTTTATCTTGTAACATTCCGAGGTGGGCGAATACATTTTGAATGAAAATAGGATGATGTTTTAATAGATGAAGGATAGATTATGATCACTACAAAGGCGTAAAAGATGTGCCACCAGTTAAGGATAAAGATCGGGTTTGATAAAGTTCACCATCAAGGCTTAAAGGATGAACCACCTGCCAAGGATCGATGACTTCGTAGAATAAACTTACCACCAATGCCTAAAGGAAAATCCACTAGCCAAAAATAAAAGGGCTTCTTGGCTTACAACCAAAGAAAAATTCACCCTTTTGGGATAAAGAATCAGGAAGGATATTCGTTAACACATGGGACAATCTCATGTTTTCACAATATTCATGTCTTTTTCTACTTTACAAATAAGATTATACATATTTATAGAGAAAATAATATATTGAAAATAGACTAAGCATTAAAAACATGGGAACAGCCTCACTACTAAAGATATAAGAACTAGAAAATACAATAAAGTTATGAGAACTAGAAAATGCATTTTTTTTGTCATACTGTAAAATGCATTTAAAACACAAGGATACTTTAACTTTAACTCTTGAAACCTAGAACATACTTAAGACTCATAAAACTAAGACTAAAGACATTTCACGAGATACAAAGTAATTAAACTTAGACTCCAATTTCGTTCATCAGCCTGCAAAGTCCAATCGATAAACAGTATTGGAAATCGTCCACAATAGCCTCCGGTTGTTGAATAGTCGATTAGTAGTCTCGGAGTCGATAACAAATTTGTAAATTGACATCTAGTAATCAATCGACAACCATGAGATTAACAACTATTTTTCCAAGTCGAAAAATTGTACATAGAATCGACATCTTCAAACTTAGACCCACCATCAGCCTCTAGCCGAAATTGGCATTTTGCTTCCAAACTTAAGAATTGAGTTAGGTTATCAACGAGGTACAAGTTGAGCTTGCGAGTTGACTAATAGAGCCCAATGCTGCCGCATCAAACTCTCCAAGTTGTTGAATATTTGCCCTCAAATCTGTCATTGCATTATCTCCAAGATTGAAAGTAGCTAATTTCCCACAATTATCCTTACTAAAGAAAGTCGACTTCGACAAATTTCTCGGATGGCCTCTCCAATGGACAAGATAATAGATTCGCTTGATCCCTAATAAATTCTTCAAAGCCGAAAACACATCTTCAAGCTTATTCATTAAAGAACGCATTTTAGAGCGTAAGGAACGATCTTCTCCATTTGTTTTGCTTAACCACAAACAAGGAAAAAACAATCTTCTGTTTTTGAATGGCTCTCTCAACTCATGTTTCACTCAAGAAAATGTTTTCTTACTTGTGTTTCGCTCCCTAAGTTGATTTTCGTGGATCATGGATGGATTTCAAGGAATAAGGTGATATGTGTCTGGTCATTGTTCAATGAGCAAGTGTTTTTATGACCATCATGCATAGTTTTCTTATCAAATTGCCAAGGCCTTCCCAACAATAAATGACATGCATCCATGAAAATAATATCACATTAAATTTGATCGTGGTAACTTTTGCCATGTAAAATTATATGAGAGCTTGTTTGGTTACCTTGAGATCATTTCCCTCACTAAGCTTGTACGGTTGAAAATGCTTTAGATGTTGGTAACTTCAATTTCTCTATCAAGGTCATCGATTCTACATTAGTGCAGCTCCCTTCGTCAGTGATCAAGTTACACACCTTCGCATTGATTGTGCAACGGGTTTCAAAGATGTTCCCCCTTTGTTCCTCTACCTTTGGTATGACCGCGGTGTAAAGCTCTCTAGATGAACTATAAGTTTCCTTCATTGGCATCTTCCTCAAACTCATCATGTTCCTTGGATTCATTCGGGCTTGCATCTTGCTTAGCATTTTGAAACTCCAAGTTAATCTTTCTCAATATGCTAGCAAATTTCCATATCCGTGGCACTTGAAGCATTTCCCACCTCTTTTATCCGATTTTATTTGGTGTTGTTTAACGTACTCTGTAAGTTTCTCATTTCCTTGCTCCTTTTTCAAGACATCAACATCAGCTTGGTTAGAATAAGTATCCTCTAAGAAATATGTACCTTCAATTTGAGGCTCGGCCAAAAAACCCTTGCAGCACTTTAGTATTTTCTTCAATTGTATGGCTAGCTTGCAAATATCTTCAAAGGACCAATATGGTTAAATTACAACAAAGTCGGCTATCTCCCTATTCAAACCAGCAGGGAAATGAGTAACGATTTGCTCTTGCAATTCTGGAACATCACACCTCAATAGAAGTTGTTCAAACTCCCTAATGTATAATCTGCAACATTCATTCTCCGCTGTTTGAGGGAATTCATCTTGAGAAATAGGTCTTGCTTGCTGTTGTCGATAAGAACCTCTTCTTCAAGAGTATCTTGAGCTTTTCCCAAGATTTAATTATATTCTTTCAAATCCCAACTCTTTGTTCTTCAAGTTTTCCCACCAAAGCAAAGCATATTTCTTCAACTTGAGAACAACAATTTTGCATTGCTTTTCGTTCAAGTATGAGTGAAAGTTCGAGTATGAACGAAAGTCGAATACTCGTTTTTTTTTTGGTGTAAATGTAAGTAATATTTATAAGATGACGTACAAAAAATTTTTTTGGTCGAATACTTGTTTGATATCATTAAACCAATCAATAAAGTCGCATGGATTGACGTTTCCCTCCAAATTCTGATGCCTCTTCACAATCATTCTCCTCTCGCATTCTTCTTCTCCTAACTTGATGATCCAAATCACTAGAGTCACCTCCAGTGTTGTTGGATTCGCCTTCAAAATTTGTACGAAGTTCTAGATCAATATGGTATGGATGAGGAACTCAAATTCTTTGTGATTGCTCTTGTTGCGTTTGATTCTCTAAGGGGTGAGAACTCGCTCCTGTTGTTGTTGGAGAGCTATTAAGGCACGATCACGCCTTTCATTATGTGCTTGTTCTAAAGTTAAGCCTCTTGAACCTGATCAACTATTTCTTTTTTTCTTTTTCTTTTATGAATGAGAGTATGAGATGGAATAGAAAATGGGTAACAAAGGAATAACTCAAAACGACACCAATCTTGAGCTTTTAGTACCAATTTGATGCGATTGCGAGGTAGGCGAATACGTTTTGAGTGATAATGGGATGATGTTTGATAGATGAACCATAGATTGTGATCAACACAAAAGCGAAAAGGATGAACTACCCGCCAAGGATAAAAGACT